AAATTGTGAATATCACGTGATGTATACAATAGAGCAACTGTCCACGTGAAAGACACACGAAATAATTGGCAGTATATTAAGAGAGCCATCTTTGACAACAGACTGTTATGCTATGGCAGCGTGAAGTCAGTTGCCATCAAAGTTACGATGATCGAGTTATCAGATATTGGGTACGATAATTGGACCCCGATCGAGTTATGATGATATTTCGACTATGATCGTAAAGGATACTTAGACCGGGTAATTCTTTCGCTTGACTACATTTTTCGGTGCCCTGTCTATTGCAAGTAATAGCCATTTTTATTCACTAGCATCCCGGCGCAATGATTTCCTTCCACTTTCTTGTGATGTAATGAGAGTTTCATCAATATTACGCATTGCCTGCTACCTCCTGAGCAAAACTATGTTTCTAACAACTTGTACTCTTTGCCCTGTGTTCGTTCATCGGAGTTTATCAATCATGGAATGATACTCCACTTCAACATTACTGTTGCTCCAAATGAAACTCATGAACTCTGCAGATCGATCAAAGTATGCTACGTTCTGAAAGGCTATCGATCCCGCCATCGTAGAGCCTGTCTCAATCGATCAAGTCTCAACTACAGATGAACAATGCTATTTCTCGTATTCCCCTTGGATATCCTTATTTCCATTAGAAACGGAACCGGAGAGCACCCCAACGTCCTACCACACCACTCTTTCCTCGACGTGATATATTGTTTGATTTTTCTCGAGAGGAATGCCTGTATTTGTGAGAACCCGCAAGGAATGGCATAACCGAAAGGGTCATGGACGACACGTGTGGACGAGGATGGTGTTGGCACTGGAATCCACCACATACAACACTGCATAGACACACCGTCATCTGATTCTAAACCTAGGGCCACACGAAGAAAAGCAAGTATCGTTGACCGAGGCTGTGGTGCGAGCCGGATGGAAACGAAACGGGATGTGGGTTCCACTAGCATGGGATCAACGTAACGATACGAACGAATGTTGGCTTTTCTGCACGAGGGATCGATCTCCATTCACAGGCTCCCTGCAGATGCCTTACGACTACTACGTGCGTCTGGCAGGCGCAGCGGCAGCCAATGGTGAATCGGCTCTCGGTGCATGCAGTGCACCCATCCTCTCCACGTCAGCATCGAAGGGCGAGAAATTGAACTCGATCGGGTTCGACCTCATCGGTTAGCAACTGTGTGCAAGATGGGAGAAAATGCATGAAACGCGTTAGGTATTGAAAGATGACCACATCTCTAGTGGGTTCGCGCATCGTTTGCGACGAATGTGGATTCTTCGTCGGGCCTAATAGTGGCGCCAACAAGGAACATTCACGAAGCATGACGCTCCGATTTTAACCAAAATTTGTACAAATGCAGTACATAATTATTAAATACTGTGAATAAACTTTCACGTGCCCTCGTTGCTTCCTTCAGACGCAATAGATAAACGACCCCTTATCCTAATGGTCCACATATGGTCTTGGTGTTTTGCTGGTTCTGTTTCTCGGAATCATCATGTTGATCATCCAGCTCACTGTTCTTAAGCTCATGGAGGCTAAATTTCCCTATTGGACCTCTACGTCAGTGCCATCAGATGTCGAAGTCGATTTGGCAGCAAAATTAACTGGTAGATTTTTTCAATGTTAAAATAATTTTTATAAATTATTACATCACTGAACCTGTTTTATTTCAGAGACTTTGACGTCATGTGTCGAAGGGGATGATTTCGAGTATGAATTTGAATATAAATAAAGATGGATATATGGATCGGAGGCCGGAATTACATGTCACGCTAATTCAATATTCCATCGAAATGGACATCTTTCAATAGAACTGTCGAAAATTAATACGTGATGGCGTTTGTGATGTGGCCACATTCATAAGATGCTCCCATTGTGAGCTACGCCTTTGTTTCTCCCATTTTTATATTGATTTTCATCATTGCAACTCATAATTGTCGAAATTTAATAAATCAGTCCTTGGGCCACGAGAGCGCGTGAAGTCTGATATACGGTATTTAATAATTATATACTGCATTTGTACAAATTTTGGCTAGAATCGGAGCGTCACACTTCGTGAATGTTCATCCAGGACACGAGAAAAATTATCCCAGCAACCATACGACGATTCGATGAGCCCAACATGAACGTTCATTTCGAACATTCCCTGCGTTGGAGCAGCGTTACATCTGAACATCGAGCCAATATCGCCATGCCACTGACCGAAACGCTCACAGCGAGCGTTCTCTCTCGGTCTGGCTGAAGCACTTCCACAAGTACTGCAACATTTCTCGAGTCAGTAATTTTTCTTCACGATAATAAGTGGTTTTTTAGTCAGCCTGCGCCGGAAATGTATACCTTAAAAGATTACTAAGGTGATCATTCGCATCACAACCGATCGTTTCGTCTCTATGGTTGAGAAATCAGACATCCGTCTCAGCGAGACGAGCTGCTTTTCATGATAAAAATGTTTTGAGTCTGCTCTCAATTTTTGTTGGTAGTGGCATGGACTCTTCCGCTTTTCTCTGGGCCAGAATTGTCCGGAGTCTCCAAGGGCTGTATTATCTCTTTGAACGAATGTATTCAGCAATTTTAGAGTTTCGTCAAGGTTTTAAGCAGAAAATGGCTTGGTATAATACGAAAATAATTGTTTCAGGATTTAATGAAGGAACTCATTCCAGATGATTCAAGGATTGATTTGCGACATCGGCGATATAGTCAAGTCAAGTCAAGAGAGTTAGTGACATCAAGAGGCGATTTCGCCCATTTCGATATCACGTGTCGAGGTCGAGCGTTCCTTAATTTTAGGGTAGGCCTAACCCTTTTAAAGCTAAATATATATATATATGTTTTTTTACTATCCTAGTTGCTTACTGTCTAGTACCTACGGTCAACATTGCCCCCCACCTTTTTGCCTGTCCATGAAAGCATCTAGTTTCTTCTTAAAGATAGTCACAGAAGGGGCAGCCACTACTTCGTCATCTAACGCATTCCACGCGTTCACCACTCTGCAAGTAAAGAATTCCTGTCTCGACCTGAGCCGCACCTGCGGTTTGCGCAACTTAAGTCGGTTACCTCTCGTTCTCTTGCTGTCATCAAACTGGAAAAACCTACCACACTCGACATTATCTATTCCTTTAATTATCTTGAAAGCCTGGATGAGATCGCCCCTCCTTAACCTTCGTTCGAGCGAGTACAGTCTCAACACTTCTAAACGCTTCTCGTATGATAGTCCCCTAACCTCCTTAATCATTCTTGTGGCCCTCCTCTGTACTCCCTCGAGCGCCAACAGATCGCCCTTATTTGTAGGCCTCCAAAACTGGATGCATATGAGTGCCATGTAGCTTCCCTTAATGGAACTACTTGCCGGAAACTGAATTGCCTGCTGTCTCTTTTTAACGTTATGGCAGCTTTCATGTTACAGCAGCGCAGGAATAAATTAACGTTGTAATATAATATTTCCAACGTTTTTGTTACTTTGAGTGCCTGTAACTTGAAATTTTTGACGTTATGCCAACATTTGTTTCATGTCATGGTAGGACATAGAACACAAACACTCGGATGACACCTTCCGAATGTCGCACGAACACTGCTGTGTTTGGTGGAGATATTCATGGAGAGTTGGACGTCCGACGCTGCTGACACCGAATCGACACTTGGAATTTACCTTTCCCCGCAACGTTGTCGCGATTACTGGGATCTCAGGGGAATCCCCAGTCGATCTTAAAATGTATGAATTCAAGGGGAGATAGCAGCCAGGACGATGAAGTATGCACATCTTCGAGTGTCCCCTCCAAAGTGCATCTATCGCTGTCGATAAGGGGAAATTTCGTAAGTGACAGCTAGTGACAGCCAGGCTCAGGCTAATCAAGTCGTAGATGCTTGCATGCCGAGATAAGGAGGCATGGTGTCTCTTTGCTACAAGACGGACTGACATAAGAGAAGGGAATCTCGTGAATGGACAGTGGCGGATCCAGTAATTTTATGGGGGGGGGGAACTTGAATCCCTCCCTGGAATCGAAAGTGCGAGAGGATTGAAAACTCGAATATAATTTATATAAGTATAGGTATTAAAATATAACTTATATTTCTGCCATGCGGACCAGGGTCTGATTAAGGGGGGGGGGGTAGCCCCAAGAACTCACTTGCCTCGGGCCTCGCAACTTCTTAATCCGTCCCAGATGCGGACAGTTCGAGCAATTTGCAACTTCATACACGGCATACTAAATCAATTGAATTCATCGACTGCAGTCCAACCTTATAAAAGTCGGGCTTAAGAGAGAAAAAGACTCGGACGGTCCACAACGGTTGAAGAGATGTAGGAAAGTCGAGACTGCGACCTCACTTTCTTGACATGGGAAGCCCCTCGTTCACTCAGGGTCGAAATATTGCCGCGGTGGGGAGACGTGCTGGCGAAGTGTTCATAGTTCTTGGAATGGGGAACGGGTATTCAATGCGTTGTACGTGTATGACATTTGACCTTCAGGGCTGATAAGGCTCTTTTCTCTATTGATGCACTTTCATAACATGGCAAAGCATTCCACCTCATCACACTGTAACTGACAAGTAGATTCACTGCCTAGTAACAGCCCGAATTTTGAGGTTTATTGGCAGAGCTTATGCTCTGCCAACTTAGATAGCTCTATATTAACGTTTATTCTCCTTCCTGTTTTCCTTGATGCCTCCTCACCATCGCCCTGTCGAACTTTTCTCTCCAAAGCAAAGAACAGTAAGCATCTTCTTTAACCATCAACCACAGTCACGCCCCCCTCTCGCTGCAGATACTAACGATATTCTTACGTTTTTCCAGCGCTTAATTTTCAAAGGACTGTTCTCGCCACTTTGCTAGTGACCGAGGCAACAGAACATATTGCATGTCCTCGGATATTGCTGACGCCACACCATGACTTCCAGAAACAAAGAATATATCAGCTTTAGCATTTTTTATTCCCAAAATTATTTCAAATTAATACATGGAGCCTAGTGAAAACAAATGCATGTTGCTGTAAAAAAAAAAAAAAGGACATTGTTTAGTAGATAACATCTCAAATACTCCAGACTGAAAATCTGTCAAGATGTTATTCAAGATGGCATGGAGATATGGAGAGGGTTGGAGAAAAACAGTTGGGAAATGGAGAAATTCGATCACAAAATTATCAAGGAGCAGATACACCATACACAATTGGATAATCACAGATTTCATAGAAGAGTTTGGGAGAAGGAGCTCATGCTTCCAAAATTAACTGGGTCTAGTTGCAGACTTGGCACATTAGCAAGTTAGTTCCCTTCTTTTTTTTTCTTTTTTTTCATTTTTTTTTCAAGAACAGCACTCTGTTTTTGAAATAGTGTGAAGCCAGCTCCTGATAAAAGCGTACAGGCATCACCACCTGGCTCCAACCCCTCATTAAAAACACACACACAAATATCACAATGTTGGAAGAAAGAGGAAAAACAAAGCATGTAGTTAAGAACCATGCACTGTTGATGAGGAATGCTTCGGTCGAGAGAGAGAGGATTCATTATATTAAGCTCAGAAGAGATTTCTTTTTTTATATGGTCTTCTCATGAGAAGAGTACAAACAAATGAGGGGGGTGAGGGGTTCCTAGATGACCAGAGAGAAGTCCTTCTTTGAAGGAAGATGAACTCGTTTCCCTGTCCAGAGTGAGTCGTGGATTGTGAAAGCATCTATAGTGACAGTCAGATGTTTGGTGTGGATCCGCGAGAACACTTTCCCTCCAGAGTTGTATCTACACAAAAAAAAATAAATGTTAAAAACTTTACAGGTGCCAATTCCTTCAGGGTGAAACTTAGGTGAAGACAAGCTGGTGATGAGACTCACTTGAAGAACTTATCAAACATGCTGTCTGTGACTTGTGAGGGGCCCTTCCCATGCAGTTTGTACACTTCCTCTGTCTCTGGATTGTAGGAATAGAGACCACGAAACTGGCAACCGGCATCTCGGAAGAGAATGAGGAAATGCTTAGCATCAGACTTTCCCATCTCTTGAAGGACTCTCTTCTTCTGTTCAGCATTGACAGCACCAGGAAAGACGCAGTAGTTGACTGCATTCAGTATAATCGATCGATTTGACTTGGCAGCTGGTTGCTTGAACAAGCGAGGACCTGCATCAACAAAATGCCCTAATTATTTTTAAAATCTTGGAAAATCCATGGAGGAGCAGAATAATATTTCCTCAATAGGTGAGAATCTGCATTGAAATGAAACAATCAGTCCATTTGAACTCCCTTGAAAAATAAAAAAAGAGCCTAATATAAGCAGAGGGCATACCATTGTATTCAAGACTGGCAATGGAAGAGACTTCACTGGCATTGTCATCAAATGGGAATCGTCTCCGACCAACACCAGCCAGAGAAGGAAGGGAGGGGGGACCAGCCCCAGATGGTGACATGAGACCTCTCCTGCGATATCCTCCATCCTCATAATCTCCACCTCCTGTTGAAAGTCCAGCCTTGTATCTTGCTGGAGAGTATTCCAGGGACACATGCAAGCAAGCATGAAGCAGTGAAGGGAGCCATATGAGAGATTGGGACTGGCCTGGAGTGGGAGGGAGGGGGAACTCACCATGCAGATTGATGTCTGAGCCAGCTTTGGTGGGGCCCTTGGAGCCTCTGTGGCCCCCATACCGGAGAGACACAGTGTCTGTGCAAGTAGCAAAGGAAAGGGAGAGGGGGGAGGCAAGAATAAGAAATAAAATTAGACTGTGCAATAGGCATCATGCTTCTTTGATAAAAAAGCAACAACAAAAAAGTGCTGTTGAAGTGTTAAAATATCAACTCTCACTTCTAAATGATTAAAATTCTGGAAATTTTTTCACAGGAGGAAGAAGCATCAATTACTTTCCATTGCAGCTAATATACTGTTCTTGAAAACTTGGCTCAATTGTTGTTTACAATCACACTTGAATGCTGTCAAGTTCAATAATAGGTTTCATCTTATGCTTCATGTAAAATATGGATTTTTGAGTAAGGAGTTTGACCATTACTCTAATTAAGTTCTATTTGTCATTTTCTTTGTCTTTATGAATCAGCTTTCAAAGTTTTCATCTTTTATGCATTCAGTGGAGCCATACCAATTCCTTGCTGGTTTCTACATCACCTTTTGACAAAATGTAGGCATACTCCTCTGCATAACCTGAAGGGTCTAATAAGACATTTTTAAGCAACAAGAACCAAAAAGAAGGATGACTTTTTCATTTTTTTCCTTTTCATCTTTAAGATTTTCTCATCTCCACCCATAAAATTTGTCATGTGAGAGAGTCTTCAGTTTGCACAAGTTAAATAGGCTTACTGCAAGATTGGCACAAAGCTGAAAACAAATACATGAAATGGAACTGTATAAACTGCCTGTTTTTCCTAAAAGCAGTAGTACTCAATGCAAAAGCAGGCATCATCATGCTAATGAGGTTCTGATTAATTGCAATTAAAAATGTACATTGATCTACTTCTTACATGCAAACATTGCCTATGAAACTTAGGCAGCAAAAGGTGTTGAATGAAGTAACAGAACAAATAATTTTTGTGCAAGAAATTGAAAGGACCTGGGCAGATCTTGACAGCATAAATGGGCCTTCAGATCTTGCATGCGAGAAGTGAAACAGGGAATCAATGATGGAGTTTTCTTGCCTGCTCAAGTTCTCAGGGTACTGACCTGTTCTTGCTCTAGGTGGATCACATGTATCCATGAGCCATAACCAACCTGGCCTATATAATCACTGAGTGAACAAACTATATAACTGAAAACTATTTGAAGTGACTGAAGCAACCAATAAACTTAATTTCATCAAGGAGGTCCAACACAAATAAAATGTATCCTTGAAGAGGGATGAATACTTTCTTCACAGCAAAATCATCCCAGTTCAGGATCACAAAGCACAGTCATGCAAATCCCTCTAATGTCTTGAATGGAGAAACTAAGGACCAATCTATGACTGCAAGTGCATGAAAAAAAAAGTATTGAGAATACAGTCATTCAGGCATACACAGTCACAGATGTAGAGACTCAATTTTTGAGAGGCAAAGATGACATGCATAGAAGCAAATGCAAGAGTCAGAATCCATGCCTGGAATGCATAAATTCCAAAAGAGTATAACTACCCACAAGGGATCCAATAAACAATAAATTCCAAGGATAAATACAGATTCTATCAGAAACTTCAAACAAGCTTTGTTACAGCAGTCAGCAGCCACACTAAAATGAGCCTGAGTTAGGCTGTGGAGGATTCTACTGAAGTTTAGACAACAACTGAGTCTTGTGTAGATGGTGTCCACAAATTCTTGTGTTACTGGGCAATGCAAAGGTCAATAAGCCAAGCAATTTTCTCCTATGAAGCTCCCTCTTCCTTGAGTGTTATTCCAGGTTATGTATTGGTCAAGTGCTTTCAAATCCTAGCTATGATTATGCAGATAGCCTGGTTGCAATCAAATCTGCTGATGAGATGGGGAATCTGGGGGTCACAACGGAGAAGGAGAAGGGTGAAGAGGTGTGCAAACAAACCAGGTGGGACTGTGCGTGAAGAGTGAGAGAACAGCGATTGTGAACGCTGTGGAGAAGAAGAAGGAGGAGAAGAGGAAGAATCCCCAGGGCGACTGACACGGAAAGTGCGCCGGAGGCTTTCACTCCTTCGGATTGGCCCCGATTCTACATGCCAGCCATGCATACAAATACACTTCTGTGAGCCTCCCTCACTACAGACAATCCTTCAAATCGATCATCAGGTTAATTCTACTGATGAAAAACAACTGCTGTGTTGGACAAGAGGATAAACCAAGTTTCCCTTCATATTGCCCCATATAACAACTACTGTAGTTGCTTCACTACAAAAAACATCAGTCACTGTCATTTCCACAAACAAGAATGATGCTGGATCTCCCTATTCTACTTCCTAACATGGCCTGAAGTTCTGGCCTGAGGGATCCTTGCACCAGTGGCAACCACAAAGCATAAACTTAGGACTAACTTCTACCAAAAACCAGTCATTCAAAGGCAGTGAGATATCCATTGGAGGATAGAGGACTCCCTTTAAACTTGCCACAAGAGGGAGGAAGCATAACTGGTAAACAGAAAAATTCCATCTATATATTTTTAGCACCATCTCACAGATGAAACCAAGGACATGCTTATGGAATGTACTTTATCATGTTTCTTTTGTAGTCAATGACAGGTCTCACTCATGGATAGGCCTAGCTGATAAAATTGTCCTTTTAACCCCTTAACTGGGAACTTTTGAACACATATGTGCGGTGATTCCATTGAGAGATGGCAGGTGCCAGACCGCACATATGCGGAGAGTCCATTTAAGGGGTTAATCAAGATGAGAGTATGATAATTTCTCTCAGTAAATTGTTCATAATGGTATCTAATTTTTAATTTAATAACAAGGAAATTGAAACCTGTTTTGGTGGATTCAGCTCCCCTACATGTGGTAGATTCTGACTACGTATAACTTCAACCTATTGCCATCAAAAGAATTAGGACCTCTTTTCTGTGTGAGAAGGCAAAGCACTTAGTGAATTGTACCTTGTGCTTTCAAGTGAGTATAATGTGAATATGCCTGCATATGACAATACACCCTCGGGAGCAGATGCCATTGCCAAGATTTTGTTGACAAGCCCCCCTCTTTTTCAGTCATCCTTCTACATTGAGAAGGACTGAACTTGGGTCTGATTCGAAAAGTGAAATTCCACTTAAATTATTTGCTAACACAAGGACAAGAACCCACTTCCCTATATAGCCCAGGAAAAAGGATTCTAAACACGCCAAAATTTAAGTGAGATTTTAAGGGGACACCCAGTAATACAGGATAAAACACAAACTAGTCCAGAGTAGTTATATACACAGGTGCTGAATTTCCAACAACATTGGGAAAGAAGACCAAGGTAGAGATAGTTACAATACGATAAGGAATGATACAACCCCACTCTCATTCCCTTCCCCTCCTTCCATTTGGTTTGGCAACAAGAGGTATAATACAATTATGCAAGTTTGGCTGTTGTTTGGGCTATTTCATTTCTGATAATTACACTAATCTTAGAACATTAGTATATGTTCCCCCTCCTCAGGAAGACATATCTCCATCTGCCACTGCTGAGTAGTTCATTGAAGGCCTTCTCAAGCTCTGCAGCTTGTATTTTAAAAAATATAATATTTTATGACATCATGGTTGTGCAATGAAGAAAAAAATGATGGGAAAAAAAGGCACGGTGCAAGACAAAAGCAACCCAACTGACCATTGCTGGGAGACGCATGTTGACGAAGGTTGAGCTCTGACTTCCGAAGGGGATACCTCTGGACTGAATGAGGGGATGAATCTAGAGCCCCATGCAACAACACAAGACACTGTGCTAAAAATGCCCTCTATTGCCACATCATGCCATGCAGTGCTCAGTGATTCCTCCACTTGCTCTCTCATGCCAAACATTTTACAGCCAGAAATATAATTGGAACATGTAAAATTATTTTTAAAAACAACCAAAATCCAGTACCTATATTTTCTAATGTAATTTAAAAAATTGAATTAGACTATGACTACTCATTGGATGGGAGAAAATGGAGGAGCACACTTGATTTGAAAGGTCCCAATTACTCATGCTATCCCAACAAAATGCCAGAGAAATTATACATATGTACAAATCAAAATATGACTGAATGCAACACAAAAAAATAACTGAGTAAAATCTTTCTACACAATTAAAAACAGAAATTACATAAACCTATCTGAAGTTTTCAAGATACATGCATTGAGAATCAATTTCAACTAGAAGTTTGAGAAAATATGAAGAGGAGGGACACACCAGTGGAAGAAATATCTTGAGATGAGCCATGCTGTCCACGAGCAGTAGAGAGACGAGATTCTCCCCTAGAAAGAGCAGCTTCATGTAAGGATTTTGGGCGCTGCCGTCCTCTTCCACTCCGGCTGCCTCGTGCCATGGAACCAGCTGCATTGGAGTGATGCCTTAGGATCACCCCATCAGGCATATCAACAGCTCGACCCTATAATACAAAACATTGCTACTTTTGTGCCAAAAGCAAGGAATGTTGATGAGTTTGTGGTATTAGCATGGTCCTTACCTCTTCTTCTGCTTTCTCCATGGCCTTTTTCAGGCGATACTGAGCAAGAATAGCTTCTCGCTTAGCCTTTTCTTCTTCCCTTTTCCTCTGCTTTTCTTCCTCTTTCTGTTTTTCTTCTTCGCGTTTGAGCTGCACCTCCAGTTCACGCTGCCGCCGTGTCTCTTCCTGCTCAGCTTTGCGTTTGAGGGATTGCATGAGGAAGCGCTCCTTTTTCCTCTCCATATCATCCACAGTTATCTATATATGGACAGTCTTTTGAAAGCATACTCACAAGGTATAGAAGAGGATCTTCACCAAGAGCACATGGACTTACAGGGTCAGGTTGAACCATCTCATCACCAATGATAAGCCCTACACCAGACTTGCGTTTTTCCAAAACAGAAGATGAATGATGGCTACGGAAGGGAGATTTATCTTCAATGTCTTCTATTTCTTCTGTCCTTCCCATAGGCTTTTCCAGATCTGGGCCAAGGTTTAGGTTCTCATACTTCCTAGCAAGAGCTAGCATTTCTTCGACAGGAGCATTGGAATCCACTTCAGATGAAGCAGATGATGAATATGCAGGTGAGGCCTCACGGTGAGATGGATGAGAAGGTGATGGCTTGTCCTGAGTATTATTTGGAATAATGAGCATCTTTGGAAGACCAGCAACTTAACACAAGAGAGCCAACTGATTCCAAATGCATACAACCTACTGAAGACAAACTCACATGAAATCCTCTGTTAGAAGTGAGCACTGCATGATTAAGGGTTTGAGAAGCTTCTTTTTGCCTAGGAGTCTCAGAGGAAGACTTTTCCAAAGAGGAAGTAAAACTAGAGCGCTTTCTCAGCTGAGGAGGTTTAGGCTTTTTTGGTGCATCCTCAAAGCTGATGAAAAACCCCATATCTGAAGTCACCCCATCCTGAGTAAGATATATTTTTTCCTTTAGGCAAAAACTCCATCCAATACAAATGACTGAACTAAAGGGAAGAAAAACATAAGGAAGACTTTTACTTTCAGAGGTTCACTGTTGACAACAGGGTCAGGATTCTTCTCAGCCTCACCACCACCACCACCTTCTTTCATGGCTGTTGTCACTTGAGACTGAGACTCTGATGAAGGTGTAGCTGCCTTTGTAAATTGGAATGTTCGAGTTATCATGGGTCGAGGTGGAGAAGAGGGCTCAGTATTCAGGATCCTTCAATGCAATATGGAATGCATGTAAATGTGATTTCATGTTTATAAGTGAGATGCTTAACAAATTATTTTCAAGGTGATCAGCTCAACCTGTATGTTTTGCTCCCTGAAGAAATTTGAAGACTCTGAAGCTTCTGTTCCCGCTCCCTTTCCTTCCGTTCCCTCTCCTCTTGTTCATGTTCTCGTCCCCGTTCATGTTCTTGTCCCCGCCCTTGCTGGGCATTCTCCCTCTCATTATGAGATTCAATGAAGGACACATTTTGGGGAGCCATGTCATCTAGTGGGGGTGCAGGTAGAGGGACATGATGACGCTCTGTAAGAGAATCTGCCTCCCGGCGTGTTGAAGCAGATGAGGATGGAACAGCTGAGGCTGAAACTGAACGCTGGATTGGAGCTGAACTGCGAGAGGCAACTGCGCTCATAGGTTGTTGAGGGTGATGGTACTGTGATGTGACTGCTGGTTGGAATGGTTGCATGTACCCAGCCTACCATAGAACATTGTAATGAGATCACATTCTTGGGATAATATGACATTCTTGACTGAGGGCATGAGAGAAACAACATACTGGTGAAGGATGGTCCTGGTGAAGTCTGAAAGGTGCATGGTATGGTGGAGATAAGGAGGTACGGGACGGTTGAGAATGGCGAGGATAATACTCTCCTCCCTGATTAACAGGGCCTATTCCATTCATGTGGAAGGCAGGCTCACTTTCTATGTATGGCCCTGGCTGGATCATGTAATTTCCTGACATCCCTTGCTGGGCCAAACTTGGAGGTGCTGACTGATTCACCACTGCAATTGGTCTATTGTGATAGAGGAAAACATTTAAAATGCTAAAGTAAGTATCTTGTAATAAAGCTGAACTACAAAAATGGTCACAAACCGGAATGGCTGTGGTTGGCCCCACTGTCTCCGGGGAGGGCTATAACCACAGAATGGGTCCACAGAAACCGGACCCCATTGACTTCTTCGTGGAGCAGTTGCAGCTGCAGGACCCATATCATGAAGGTAAAATTGTTGCTGAGGGGCTTGAACAGCTGAAGGATGGAGTGGCTGTTGCTGCTGCATCATGCGTGTCAGTTGCTGCTGCTGAACTGACAATCTCTGGATGTCAGCATGCAAATCATTCAGGCTCTGATTCATGCTGCAATCATAAACAGGTCTGCTATGAAAATAATCTGCAGCTCATATCACAGACTTTCAAAGTTGTGACAAAAAAAGAACATACTGCATGAGTGACTGATGATACTGATCATAATCAGTACTATCCAAGTCAGGTGTCTTTTGTCCACCACCCATCCATTTGTTCTCCACTTGGGACAGCTCATTTCCAAGATCCTGGAAGTATTATAATGACTTAATACTACTCTAGATGGTATTCTCACACAATCACCAGATTCCAGAGCATGGGGCAAAGTTCACTGATTGGCTTGTTCTGTCAACATTATCATTGTGCCTCACAGCATGCTATGATCACATCACTCCACCAATAAGAAATTAGTTACACCTCCAAAATGCTAGACAATAAAAATGTTTACACCACTCCCACAAGATTTACTATTGCCAATACACACAAACTATGAGTACAACACCAGCAGCACATCCATAAATAAACATAAAGATTAGTGCCAAGAAGGATCAAAAGGAACAGGAATAGTAAGATACATAGGATCAAAAGGCCCACCAAGAGGAACGACAAAAAACCTATCTACTCATTTTTCATGCCATTATGTGCATATACATCTTTACGAAATAATCACAAAGAATGGAAAGTGCAGAAATGAATTTCTCTATAGACTCTCTAGAAAAAGCATAGAAAAGAAGCATAAGATAGAACTTGATAGCTTTGGAAAGCAGAAGAAAGGAAAGGACTGATGCATGTTCATGGTTACCTGTAAAGTCAGTGATTGCTTCCGATTATTAAGGCTTGACTGTTCAATGGAATCAGCCATGTTAATTGAAGACTGTGAAGAGTCAGAGGGCCCCATATCTTCCCCTCGGCTCTGTCACAAAAATGCAGTGCACAAGGAAATGACGAGAAGCTGAACTTATACCAATTGGTCCCATTCTCTAGACTAGGAATCACAAGCCATGGAATTTGGGAGGTAGGGATTTTGAAGATGAGGTAAGCAGCAATTATCAACCTGAAGGTTCTATGAATATGAATGCTAGGACTTTTGTAATGGTACTCACAATTTTCAAAACTATATGGTAGAAAGGTAGATGCAAGAAGAGTCATTTTTGTTTGTGGTCAAGGTTTGTTCATCCAATACATAGCACCACAAGCACCACAAACACTTCATTAAAAAAGTTAATATGCCAATTAACATTCCAAGAAGTTATTTTTCATATTGTATAAAGCTGGAATGAGATATTATTGCTGTCAAAAAGAAGACTAAGTGTTATTTTTCAGTAAACTGCATAAAGCTTAACTTTCTAATTCTAAAGCAGCATATCAAAAGACAAATAAATTGACACGAGCAAAACTCAGTCACATTAGCAACCCACTGTGAGCTGCTTTTGAGGGTAAGCACTACATGTTAGTGATCCAACTTCAGTCAGTTGTTGACAATCTTGTAAAACATGTAATGGGGTGCTGATGGGGAGGAGCACACTTCTAACAAATCTTACAACACAGAGTGATAATAAAGTTATTTGAGTCTAAGTCTCAGGCTCCTGTATCTCACTTCAGAATAATTAATTTTTTTAGCTTTCAACAAAATAAAGCTTAAACTTTCATCTTTTTAACTCCTTAATACATTCAGTGTCTAGCTCTAAGTGGTCAGCCAACTGCCCATTGCCTAGCCCTTTAAAGATATTTTTAAAATTTTACAAGCTATTGCAAAAAACTCATCTCCATTTAAGCTAAGCAAATGAAATGTTTAACAAACCTTCACAATACCTGATAGATATAACAAATGGAATTTTCCATATATGAACACTTGTGCACTACGTAGCACAAACAGCAATCAATCCTTGAAGTGCAGTTTAATACAAGAGAAATCTAATCTTACAGTGCTAATTTTTATTTTTGAGCAGCCTATACCTCAACTTTCAATGCTATGATCTCATTTTCTTTCTCAAACATGCATGGTGTGACAAAGAATTAATCAATCTAAGCCTTTCTAGGCCAGATTTAGCAGGGTCATTTGACAAAAAAAGGTGCTCCCAAAGAGTTCTAAACACCCCCTACTCAGGATATGATCCATTCCTCCCTGGAATATCTTCAGGAGCTCAGTGAAGTAATGACTGATGCTAGAGGCCTGTAGAGGCAAAATGGTGCCATAAACAAGAACATATGGCATGTACTTCCTTTTAGTCAATAATAGTTACAATAAAGACTCTCATATGACTTTAGAAGTCCCAAGGTTAAGAACTTTTATGGTATCCTAGTCATGGCACTAGAGCAGTGGTTCCCAAACTGTGGGTTGTGAACCACTGGTGGGTTGCGAACATTTTCCAGTGTTAAAAATCACTATATCTGCATTTGCTCAGGATAAAACATGCCCTGCAGAACAGGTCAATTCTGAATTCAGGTGGAATGCAAAATTTTTTTAACATTAGCATGTGGGTTGCGATTCAAAGAAGTCTGGGAACCGCTGTACTAGAGAGTACATACATGTCAGCTCAGAAGTCCCTCTTGGCAGAGGACTGGAGCTGAGGGTGGGGCAATAGCATAGCAGCTGAGGGTGGGGAGTAATAGACATCCGAGAAAGGGAGTTCATAATGTCAGTGCACTTTTCTGTCATTCAAGTCTAGCTTTAATGCTTCATTTGTTGCCATACCATAAAGAAAATGGCAATATGAGTGAGTATAGGCCAGGTGACTAGGTTGAGACCACCCTCCCAGCCTCATCCATTATGATTTGCTTTCAAGAATGTTGCTATGACTTTGCCCCTTCCTCAACTGTCCCACCATTCCAAAAGCTGATAGACAATGCCCTCTCTCCCTCATCTAATAACAACATGGAAATGATGGCCAAGCTTTGTCTCCCAAATCCTGCATGTTCCTGGCATCAAATCTAAATACCATAGCAAATGAACAAACAAATCCGGATTTTGAATAATACTATTTCCAGAAGTAGAATTTAGCATGCAATTTTCCTAACATGTAGATAAAAAAGAAAACTAGTTTTAAAAGTTAAATAAGAGAAAAATCCTGTGCTGTCAGGCAATGAGGACAGAATCTGGAAGAATGGACATCTGTTGTTCAACTATAGTGGGATTCTGTGATCAGACTAGAAGACTATATACCAACAAATGCTTATGCATTCTTGGGGAGTGCTTTGAGGACCTTCAAGCTGTGTTTTAAATGTTTTGAGTTTGTCTCCTAAGTTTTTGGGATTATGAGACACCATTACATTATGATGATCAAGATGAGCACATCTTGATCCAAGTAGAAAGCCTGTAAAAGACCATTTGTATCATTGTATATTGAGATCTCTCAAAGGGCATAACCATACATCCAAATTAAACCATAGGAAAAAGAGAAGTTTCTTAGACACTGATAACCAATCAAATTTTGTGTAAGCTAGCAGCATGATGGGGATTTCTTTACTGTAAGTCCTATAAACAAAGACCCATGGGTATTTTGTTATAGAGTGAGCTGGAAAGAGGTTTGTTTATTGTGTCTTTATAATAATGGATTAGAGTGAAATAACATTTCCCTTTAGGCTCCAATTCCTCATATAACCAGGCAAATTTTTATCAAATTTTGATTTCAAAATCAGTTGCAATTGAATAGGATCCTACATGCTATAGAAGTCAGAAGTCTTGAAGCATTTTAATGGTTGCTCCCACATACACAGAGCATACACAAACTCTGGGTCACTGGGAGTTGCTTGTCTCACTCAGGAATGAAAGCCTTGCTGACCTATCTCTGTGAATTTCTGAATAAATAGTATTCAAATATACAATGGGTATTCACATCAAAGCAAATGTACACTGAACCTTACTGTTGTACTCAATGAAAAGGACAGAATGGGGTCAACCTAAGAGGGATTGGTCCTCCCATCCTCTTTACTTGCTCATTCCAACTTCCTATCATAGTATTCTGCCTTTGTGAGGGCTGGCTGATCAAAAGACATGGTGGACTCACTGGAACTGCTATACATGTGCACAACAAGACTCAGTACCAGAGATAGCCTCAGCTCCAAGATGCCAAAGATCTCTATGTTTGTAGGGGTAGCCATTTGTAATGCCATCAGAATCCTCCTCCACCCCCCCCCCCCCCCCACAAAAAAAAAAAAAAATATCACTCTGTGTTGTAAGATTTGTTAGAAGTGTGCTCCTCCCCATCAGCACCCCATTACATGTTTTACAAGATTGTCAACAACTGACTGAAGTTGGATCACTAACATGTAGTGCTTACCCTCAAAAAAAAAAAAAAAACTTCTAAAGCTTTGCACAACCAACCAATCATTATTCTGGCCATAGAAACCTGTTGCCTTCCTACTAAAAACAGCTACAACAGTCAAGCCTCTGTTGCAGAGGAGGGTGTACTGCAATTCAGCTTGCTTTCACTAAAATATGTTTCAAAATGCCATTTAAAAAGTTGATAACAATCATTTGGGGAAAATCATCCTACTAGTTCTTTCATAAGAAACATAACAAATTTTCCTCCTAGCAAACAGTTCTTGAAATATGCAAAACTCAGCAATTCATCATACGGAACACCCTGTGCTATAGTATCATCATGTACTATCAATGTCTTGAATTCAGTTCACATACTAATTGAAAAAAATAGAAAAGACATGCCATGAAGAGCTGGGGGTAGATGCATTCCTGGCAGAAGTTGAGAAGAAAGCCACATTTAATAGATTCTGAGAAATGGTATGCATGTTGCAAAACAGAAGAAATGGGACAGAATACATGGACCCTAATGGCATTTAACAATAGTTGAACATCAATGTCCATTCAAAAGAAAAGACACTAGTACTGAACCCAGCACTGGTATTGGATCAAATGGAGCCTGTGAATTTGATTATGCAACACAAATGCATCAATAATAAAAACTATCTGTTTCCAATATATAAACCTGTTTGTGGAATAAGCTATGCTCACAAAATGTATCTGACTTTTCAATTAACACCTCCCATCAAAGAGCTTCATCAGGGATAAGCACTGTCTTTTTTCTGTTTCATAAGTTCTAATTCAATACTGATGGGCAACTTCTCAGCAAACTGAATCAGCTCCATTATAATCAACAACTTCACAAAAGATATAATATAGGTAAAATAACAATAGAGGCCTTGAGTGATTACTAGTAATTCTGTGTGTCAAGGGCCACAAAAAATCAACTCACTTTGCTAACAGCTTGAAGGAAGGCCTGCTTCCCCAGTCGCTGTTTCTGCTGTGCTAGAGCCATCTCCATCTTACACTTCTCTGCTTCAATTCTCCGTCTCTTTTCTTCCAATTTCATTCGAAGATCAGATATCTGAGATGCCATCAGATGTGCAGAGCCTTGGCTGGATCCCACAGACTCACCTTCCATGACATCGCCTGAGCAGCCAGAAAAAAATGAATAGGAGAAATGGTACAGTATTGCTTTGGAAAGCACAACTAAGCTGAGCATGGAGTAAGATAAATAAGCAAGCTGAAAGGTACTCACCTCGAGCAGGCTCTGGCAAAGCCACAGGAGTACGTTTTTGACTATTATGACGACGAATACCCTTGATGTTGCTGTCCTGATAATTGATGCTGATGACTCCTTGATGGGAGGGACTTTGGACCAGTTCAGCAAAGCTGGTGGCTCTCACACCACCGCTGGAATCACTGGATGTGGAATGTGGGCTTGAAGGGCCCTGTGGTGCTGTGTAGGGGGAAGAAGACAGCTCATCTGAAGGCACCAAGCTTCTCCGGGAAAATGGGCTGGTATCACGTGAACGAGAAGTCCGGTCACTTATACCAGCTGGCATTGACTGGATCAAGTCTTCCCGTTTCACCACATAATCCTCTGACTTTCTAGTATATTCTGGCACATCTGAACCAAGGTCAATGCTAGATTCCAATTCACTCTTGCGTCGATGAATTGCTGGGCGCTCTACCGTGCGGCGTCCACTCACAACCATTTCTTTGTCAGGGTTCCTCCCAATCATCTGCAAGTTTTCACTGGACCCACCAAAATTCTCTACTGTTAATTGAGATTCCTCTGAAAAGGAGTTCCTCCGGGATCTTCTCCCTGTCAATGGTTGGGTTGGAATGGTGTGCATAGCACCATCAAAATATGTTGGCTTCCCAGCAGCAGCACGCAAGTCTCCACCAGTACTAGAACGACGGTCACTTTCCCTACTTGGTTCAGGCATTCCTCGGGGGTTCTGATGGACATTTGCCAATGTTGGGACACCTCTCCCCTTGTAGACCACAAATTCTTCTTGAGAACTATAAGTAAGATGTCAGGTTCAACACATGGGTTTCTTTTTGAGAGAGATAGGGAAGGGATAGAAAATATAAGAGGCCAATCAGAATTCTTTGTCACCTGTTATCTTCATCACCAGATGCAGTAGAGAGGCTATGGACTGGTTTCTTTCCCACATTGGTGTCACCATAATGGAAGGACTGCATTTTTGTGGAACTTCCTTTTCCAGTGCAGTTACCCCCTGCTACTCCCCCAACACCAGCTCGGGCTAATAATAAATTGTGAATTTCAGTTCACCTATGGCTATTGCAGAATAATTTGGAATGGCATTCATGCAAGCATAATACAACCAACATATGAGCACCAAAATCATGCTGGCTTCAATAAGACAAATGACCTACCAATACAAATAACTCTAAAAAGAAAACTGCCTGAAAATGAATAATGACATGCAGAACCCAGAGAACACAGGATGGATATATTCAAACAAATGAAGGGCTGAGGCAAAAAGAATGCTGGCAACATCAGAACAGCAAAGGAACTTGTCAAACTTGTGAAGCTCTGTCATACCCTGCAAGGCAAACTCAATTGCCTGAGGGAAAGAGTCAGTTCGGTGGCAGTAGAGACATCTCTCTGATGAAGAATGTGGACAAGGGGACCACCATTCAGGGTAACAGTCTTGCCATTTGAACCCCTCCTCATCCTCATCATCATCATCATCATCATCTTCATCTATAGCAAAGTACTCCATCACACTACTATGCTTACAGCTTCCATAAGCTACAGCACTGCCAAGTGATGTCAATGTGTAAGCGGTTATAGTCACTACTATCACAAAATATGCCCTTAACCCTTTCACTGGCATGCCCATAAATTGTATGGGCTCCCATGTAACACATGCCTGCAAAACTTGCCAGTTGAAGGGTTAATAAAGGATTGACATGTCTCATTAAGCCCTAGAATAACCCCTCAATCCCTGAGACAGGTTGATCCCTGGCAGACTTGTGGACTCTAAAGTGAACAATACTCTATTGTCAACAGAAAGATAGAAGAAAAAGGCAGAAAGAAAAAGGAAAAATCACACGATACAGAAGATATTCATTTCCAAATTCTCAGTCATTCATCAAACTTCAGTTGCATTAGGTTTCCTAAAACAAGGAATTGGAAGTATAAGTTACCATAGAATTCATTGCTACAAATGACATTTTTATATATGTCACACCAAGCAAGATCTTTAAAATGTTCAGGAAGAGGCTGATAAATTACTCCAGAATATAGATTTTATGGTGACTCAATTAGAACTACATCAGATAGACAATGGATTTGATTTAGAATTATTTAAATCAATATTCCCATATTTGATCAAAGACTCCTATCAATTTGGAATCTTCCAATGTTTTAAGCTGGAGCTGTTGACAATTTCCTCCCATCTTCATGCAAGAAGCATGAAGATAAAAAAGGCTCACCACATCACCTTCCCAGCTAAAATCCATCTCATTAAATCAATCCAAAATTCCATTAAAATCTGAAAGCAATTAATAAGAACTCCAACATAGAGCCATCCACCACAAAATATTTTCCATCATTCACATACTCATCTCTCAAACATGTCTCACCATAAATGACAACCATTCTATGATGGATATCATGTGATTTTGCACTTTTGGACACAAAAACTATGCCACAATCCTCCAATATTCCTTTAATGGAGGTGGCCATCTTCACCAGGTTACAGTATATGTAATCTGCAAGCAGCAATGCCAATTACATCTTCCATGCTACTCCAGTGTACTTGAGGTAAGATACACAATGTCATGAAGATGATGTGAAGATTCATGTGAATTTCAGTGCGAGTTTTCCTGTTCTCGGTTGACTGGCCCTAGTACATCACAAGCCATAGATATATATGAATTTTACAAATCCTTATAGGCTCAAATGAAATGACTAAGGATTCTGGACAGTTGATACTGCATCTCCTAAATAATGTTCAATCCAATTCATGACTGAGGAACAAGAACAAGTATGGATACTTATCCATGTTGAATTACCAATCTGCTACACCACAATTGGATCCTTGATGTGTAACATTGTCCAAATGTTCTGTCTGGAATCTTGGAACCATGGAATTGCTAACCCTCAAAATAAAGAGGGAGAAGGAATTGACAAAATTGCAGACAGACTTTGCATAGATACTTCAAGGGAAATTGGACACTGATCTTGCTTGAAATCACCTCAGGAAAAATGAATTCTAACAAGCCTCCCTCAAACATGCAAACCTTTCAGATCCAATGGATGATGGACCATGGTATCATGCAAAATAAACTATCTCTACCATTTTTTTAAATCACTAATTCCTATTTAAACATCATGCATGCTTCATTCATATCCCCAAACATAATTTCTTCATAATGGCCACATTACCAACCTCCTGGAAAACTCACCTGTCCTAACCTTACTGGCATACTTCTTCATTCACTTCCTCCTACTCCTTGCTTGCCATGACATGAATTTTTTTTATTTCACCTCTCTAGTAATGTTCCAGCTATTGCCTTTATTTTTTAATGACTATCAAATGTGCTACAGAGAGAAAGCAAGTATGAGGTGACATGAAAACTTACCCTCCCAAAGCTTGTACCAATCATGCATGCAAATAATGATCAACACTATGTATAAGCTCATCTCAATCTACAGTAAATCTGTGTTATGGTGGCATCAATCCTACTATGAGACAGTGACAAAAAAAACCCACTTGTTTATTGTATTTGCACAATTCTTTCCATGAAGCAAGAGATGCATTGACCGTATTCATTGTCCAATCCTGGGTTGCTTAGGTTTAGAATTGAAAATGTAAAACATTGAAAAAAGTCTATAGAGAATTGTGCATCTTGCCTTCAAGCCCTCATCCAGGACTGTGGTGGACAGGCTCATTATAGTCAAGGTAGAATGGTATACTTTATTCAGAAATATAGTCTGTTTTGCTTCATCATCACACAGATTTGCTGGGGGGGCTAAGATTTTGTAGCACCTTCATACTATTTTTTACAAGTGACGTTGTCAGCCTGGATGTGTATTAGCTTTTTCCAAGCTTTCTTTCTCATTATTTGAAGTTGCCTAGAATTTTAGTTCGGCAATTCATAGCTTGAGCATAACCTCAGCTTCAGAGTGGTTAGTGCTGCAGACACAGCTGCTCATATGCTGCAGCACAAAGCATATGGATGAAGTGAGGTTTTTTTTCATTTACTTAACAAAACTTGGTTATGTTCTATGATTGAAGGAACACTAAAGGTCTCCTCAACTTGCATCTGGTGCCAGAAAATCAAAGATATTTAGAGTTAAGTTCTTAACCAATATCTTGTCCTATTAGCAAGAAATATAACAAGTCACTGGCATTTATTCCCTGTGGAGGAAAAATTTATTCCCATGGCAGGCTCATGAACATGTTTAGCTTGACTCCTTTGATTCTGCTGCCAATACTCTGTCAGAAACAATAGGCCATATGTTGTGCCAGCACAGACCTCGTAAACAATCAAAGTGAGGTAGAAATAAACAAAAACTGCAAGAACGCTGACAAGAAGAGACCAGCAGAAGCATGCAGCAAGGAGGTGGGACAGTACCTTCAGAAGCAGGACCAGATTTCCGTCTATCCCTGTCTTTCTCTCGTTCCTTTCTCCAGCTACTTCTGTCCAGAGAAGACCGCAGGTCTGGGATTGGAGACACAGAGATTACCTGGATCCCTCTCTTGCTTCCACCTGAGCACATTAAGATCCAAATTCTCTTATATAACTGTTTTAAATCATATTCAGCAAGGAGAAATACAGTCTGGAGAAATGTTGAGTCTGCAAGTGGGTATGTAAGTTACCTTATTCTCAAGTCAGATCTATGAATGCTGCAGTTGATCAAAAAGGCTTTCAAGAAGGCACTTCTTAATCCCAATATCATTTGGGTTATTGGGAATATAATTCATAGAGAACAATCTACATTGTTTTCAGTTGCATTTGACATATTTTTTGCATAGGCCAGCCAACTTTATTTGACAGTGACCCTGCTTTAGAAAGGTCGTAATCTGAAGAGCCTCTGTGTGTCCTAGGTATAATAGAGTCAAGGAAATATATAGCAAACTCAAATGAAAAACACTAGTGACTAAAACCTACACAAAGTGAGCAACAAAAAAATTACACCACTGAAAAATGAATCAGACAGGAAAACTATTGATGAATTCAGTTGGCTGCCATAGAAAGAGAATTTGAATTCAGTGTATACCTGCCAATTTTTGTCAAGGTAAATGGAACAATTGCAGTACATCTATGAAAAGCAATGTTCAAAATGACTGCCGCCTGCTTGAATGCATGCAATGAGTAATGTCACCTTTGTGATACAGGAATTTTACCCCATGCTTTGACCATCCACTTCAGGAGTTCCTCCCTTTCCAGGGAAAACCATTTTCAGGGAAATGAATCATCTAGCATGGGGTGGAATTCCTCAAGACATGAAACAATACAAATGATTAAGGACAACATTAACTCCTTGCTTGCTTACAAGTAGGTGGCAGTCTTGTCAAACATCACTTCCCATAGATGTACTGGAAACATACCACCTATCCTGCCTTGATGAAAACTGGTAGGGTAGGTGATATGAATTCTAACCCCTTGAGCTCAAAATCCACCCCCTTACCCATGGGTTCTTTATTTATTATTATTTATTATAATTATTGTTTGTTGCCTATTCACATTTAGAGACCAAACATTTGGTTGAATAAGGCTGTTTGTACTTTTTATTATGTTGAAATATGTAGCATGAGGGCAGACTTTATAGCAGGGTCAGAATTTGTATCACCTATCCTATGTGGAAAATTAATTTCTCCTTCTATTGCAGGAAACAGCATTAACTTATTAATGGTTTTTGTAGCATTGATTTTTTACTAACCTACTTCTTTTTTGGTTCACCATGTATGTACAATAGGATATGGCTGGCTTCTCCACATGGACTGATGAACACAATGAATAGCCTGAATAGGTCAAAGCACCCTTTGAGTTGAGCATAAAGAAGTGTTTATCCTGAGTAAAACCATTCACAGTACAATTTTAACTTGCCACTTTAATGATTTTCAATTAGCCAAAACAATGAGAAATGTAAAAGTGTTGAAAACTAGGCATGCACTGATACCGATCCAAAGTATCGGTATCAGCCGATACCTATACAGCCAATCCGATCCGATTCTCCCTTGCCACACACCATACTTGATGCACAGCATGTAAATTTTGGGAACATCTCAAGAAAAAACCCCCACTCGTACTGGCATACAGTTCCTTAAGTCCATCATAGTTCTTGTTAATCTCCAACTGATGGACAATGAGTTTGGGCATGGTTAAAGTGGAATGAGAGAGATTTGAGAAGGGCATTGTACAAATGGAATGGGCCAAGGTACACATTCATTCCTTCACTTTCCACCATTCCGTTCCGTCTCCTGGTTTCCTGCGCCGACTGGTTTGCGCAGGTGTACTTTGTGCTCACGTCCCTCCCACCTCTGGCACTCCCCTCAAGCACTGATCCCAGTTGTAGTTGCATCAACTCCTTAATCCCTTAAGGACATGAGACGTAGTTCCTACTCCTCTTCGCACTGATTGTCCTTTGTTCGTAGTACCTACATCTGACATATTCTTTGCTGGCCCAGTGAATGGCAGGGGAAGTTTTGGCTTATACTGAAGTTAATTTATTGGCTGATGTAAATGTTTCCAGAGCTAAATAAATGACAGGAATTTTGAATGTAAGTCATTAGTGGCCGAGGATTTTTTATTTCTTCCTTTCCATGCCAAAGGTATCATAAGGCCTACTAAGGTCTGGTCCTGTGTTGTGGTTTCACTTCTTACTGGGAGCTGTCTGGCTGTCTGTATCGGTACTGGTATCGGCTAATCCTGGATCAGTGCATCCTTATTGAAAACCACTTTCAAGGTTTCCATGATAAATTGGAAGCAGTATAATAGTTGAAACTTACACCTATACAAACCATCCAACATCATTCCGGTTGCTAATGATCAACAGTACAGATAACCACAACCCCAGAGGGGCAAATGGAAGAATGAGGAAGAAGAATGGATGCATGCTATATTTAAACTGAGGTTTTTAAAAGCTACTATGCCCTGATGGGGGGAGGTGTAGATAATGAACTAAGATTAGGTCTTTGATAAAAAGGTTTTCATATTCTTAAATACAGACATCCCCCACCACTTGTTGGCAGCTTGACAAATAAATGCTGAATGAATACACAACTAGTACACAGACCTTTTTCACCTCTGATGTAGATCTGCTCGTTCTTGGTGCCAGGCATGCAGACAGCTGAACAAGGATTGACTTCCATGAGAAAGAACAGCTCTGCCAGAAAGACTGTGACATTTTGCTCCACTGAACTGCACAGGACATTCAAAGGATAACCTTCAAGATAATATTTCAGAGACCACTGCATCTGCAACACCATGCAGACTTACATACCTGTGCATATATAGGAAGTCTTCCAATTGCAAGCAGAATGGGTCATATGGAAGAACAGAAGAACAAAAGCGCTTGACGGCCTGAAGATTGTAAAGGGAGTCAGCCATACTCATGGGTTGACTGTTAGCTATAGACCACCATTCAAAATCATTAGGGCAATACAGGCTGAATATGGCTCCCAAACAGATTCCATCTGAAAGATCCTCCAATGCCTTGATTTCAGGGAACTTGGGTGGTGGCCCCTGTAAGAACTCCTCTTCCTGCAATTGACAATGTTTTTCACAGCAAGTGCACAACCTTCTGGGTTTTGGCCTCATTGCACTAATGCATATAGGTCAAAAAAGAGAAGTCATAAAACAATGGGTAGGTGACCTTAGCAGTCAAAATAATAATCACAAATAAATCAAACCACATGCAACTGAAACAGAATGCTGATAACAAAAATAAATACATTGATCCATTCACATGAAAGGAAGCAGTTCAATCTTACTGAATTTGAAAATAGTACTGGATCTCATCATGAGTGAGTAGAAAATTGAGTCACTTTACATAGCAAATTAGTGCAGTCAAGAGAGATGAGCCAATTTATAAAAGTTTAATCCAGATCATACAAATGAAAAACACTTTGGTAACAAAAACTTGACTACATGGTTAAAGCTGCACTCAATGTAAGTGTCCAAAAGCTTCAAGCATGCATCAAACTCATGAACTGAAGCTTATCAGATTTTATTTTAAACTAAATTTACAATCATGCAGCTTTTACAACTAAATCTTAGTACCTCGCATGAATTGAAAAGCAGTGTGCATGTCACCGGGAATAATCACTTAGTGTAATCCAGAAAATGATACACAAGCAGAACAATGCATGCATGCAAGCAATCATTTTCATTTTTGACAACATGCCATTAGAAAGACAACTACAAGAGAGGGTAAAAAAGACTTTTCTTTCTGGATCATGCTTGAATCATTGTCCAGGGTTTCAAATATTGTACTAGGTGTACATCTAGCTTTCCATTATTATTATATATAATATGGAACATATCACTATCTTTCATACCATATATGTTTCTATCTGATACTGTTGTAGGTACTATTGTAGACTTTTTCTTACAAAGCAGCAAGCCTTAGCAATATTCTTTTTCGAAGGAGTTGAGCAATGAATACTGTCCATTGCTTAGACAATGTTTTGTGATTCTGCAGGATAGCAGCCACTGCCTACTAGTGAGTAGAACAAGAAATGAAGGTGAGTTTGAACTTAAATATGTCTGTCAAATGTCAATCTGTAACCTTTGGAATTGTATTATATTTGAACCAGATAGAAAAGTCTATAAACCACCCCTCATACAAATATGGCAAGGCATGCACACCAGAAGAACCATCACCTTATCCTTGGACAGTGAGCGAGGATGGAATTTGGCCCAAAACTCCTTCCATTCCTATGAGGAAATCAAAGAAATATGCAACATATCATACTTCCTAGTTCAACTCCTCCTTCTCTTGTATCACCCAATTTTAGGATTGAAGTAAGTTGGGCTGTGAAATTCAAGCAGAATAGAGTAATTGTGTCACATAGATGAGATTGGGCATCTTGCAATCTGCCAGTTGAAGGACGTGCAACTGGACTATGCATGCAAGTGAGTATTCACTTTACTAGATGAGGCATATAAACTGAACTACTCCTTGAAATGATTTGGTACTCATGAAAAAGAATACCACAAAGCAAAATTCTTTTTGCTAAATCACCTATAATTATCCTCAAACATCCTAAAACTTTTGTCAGTTTATCTCTAGCATCCAGATGTGATTTTACACAAAAGTGACTCAAATTTAAAAAAATTAATTTCCTTTTCCTTGAGAAAAGCAGGAGCTGGTAAGAGGTTGATAGGCATACTTTGCATTAATTTCATGCCAGTGTCCTTTAGTCTATCCATGAAAATGATTCTATGTGCAAAAGATAGAACAGTGTTTAAAGCCCTTTTGTTTCTATATAAAAATAAATGAAGAGTGAACCAGGAATTGTGCAAGAATATCTTGGAAATGATGGAATACACTTACAGTTAATAGATTTATTCATAAGCTATAAGGAACTGGTTCTGACAGGAAGAGAAGCAGCAGCTTACACTGAAAAAAAAACCAAGCTTATGTGAAAGAATGATATTGTTAGAAACATAAGGGTAAGTCAAAGACCTATTCAGTGGCTTCCAAAGTGCAGAATAAAAATCCTTCATTAGAAGTCTTACTCCTGGTCAGCATCACATATATGGTCAGTGTTACAATGCAGGTTTAAAAAGTAAAATTTGCACTACTCTTTTTGAAACCATTCAACAGGGAAAATGGCTACAGAAAAATAGACAAGAATTACAGGATGTTTAGAGATTAAAAAGAAGGAATTACAGAGTAATTATACTGTGCATTTTGCTCTCTCATGAATTCCAAAGGGCTTCAAAAGAACAGCACATTTTTTATGCCTCATCTGGAATAAGTATCATTTGTAAGAATCAGAGGTTCTTTGCAATGATCAACATGTCAGAACTTTCTGACATGATGGTCAATGTTCCTAAAAAAAAATATATATATATATATAGTTAGATCCAGATGCCTCACCTGGCTGTCATCACCATCATGATCAGGGTCCTTTGAACTGAGTAATTCTTCAAGGCCTGACTGGAGGCGAGATGCAGAAGCTTTGATCCATGCAAGGAGAGCACCTTCTTGAGAGCTTGGCACAGGCAAGGAATCAGCCACACCAAACCTGGAGAGGACACTAGCCACTCGAGAAGCACTCACCACTTCTTTCATAAAGAGGTTCATCATGCCCTCTATCACTACCATGTGGGCACTCTGAAAAGTCAAGAATAATTCATGAAGTTGGCAACTCAACTGAACTCTGAACTGAACCAAATCAAGCCGAACTCAAGTTCAGCTTGGTTTGGGCACAACCACAATCAGGTTGAACACCTACCATGCGAATCGGAGTGGTCTGAATGAGGACTGTCTCTGTAAGGGCCACATCTCCAGGCTGAGAGACATAAATACCCTTACGGGCCAGGGACTGAATCACACTGGAATGGTTCAGTTGACTGTAGTTGGGATCAGCATAGATGTTGGCAAGGGTAAGGCAATAGAATTCCCCACTGGCTAGTCCATGCACAACATGGGGTTTCAGGTGCTCCACTCCCTGTTTTGACATCAAGCAAAAAACTGTTAAATGAAATGTCACTAATCAAAACTGCAATTTGTGTTGGTAAGTTCAACTGAAGTTGATTCCTCATTTTCTTTATTCTTTTCTACATGGGTACCTTCCTTCTTGAGCCTAGCACCTTAGTGCTATGGGGGAAGTTACACTCAAATGGTGCCTTATTTAATTTCTGAAATGCAGCACAAGTAGGAGCCCACCTGTGTTCACAGCATCCCTTTTCATTTCTGCAAATGCCTGGAAGTCCAATATATGCTTCCATGTACAGTATGTACATAATGCATGTGCTCATTTAGATGAGTCAATCATGAACTTAGCAAAGATTCAGAAATTTTCCATTTAATTAGTTTACTTAATACTATATACATTTTCCTTCCCTACAAACTTTTCCCTCAATTTTAACAAATTTATAGAACTAATAATTGTGATACTTTCCTTGCTGATGATCCAGAATTTTTCAGCAGTTTAATCAAAAACTTCTCGTGACCTCTACTGAACACTGTTACTAAATATGAACACAGAAGTGTGATGGTGATTGTATGGTGACGTGTCTGCACGTTTCTCCTCAGAAAACCATAAGAGATTTTCTTGAGACCCTCAGACTCCATTCTAGCAGCATTCTTGAAATCCGGTCACAATTCATGACAGCAAATTAACTTCATTGATGTGACAAGCAAAAACTTGCCTGATGGTCCTTGTAAAATGGATCACGAAGGTCCTCCGGCACCTGATGGTTGTAGGCCTGACCCAACAGCCATGAGATACAGGCTCTCTGCTTAGCCTGAAATAAAAAGGAATACTTACGTCAAAGTCAATAGTTATCCCTGGTGGTGGACTGTAAATTTACAATGATTTCGAAGGCTTGCCTCTTTAAGTACCGTAAGAACAAACCGCACCAAACCGTAATCATTAGGTACTGTGTAGTCGTATTCTGCAACATTCATGAATGCGATGCGAGATTGTGTTTGGTTCTTCAAGTCACATTTCATTCAAAAGCTAACGTCGCTTTCGATTTTCTAGGCCGTGTCAAAAATAAACATAAAAACCATGAGCATCGTTCACAACTACCCAAGGACACGCACTGCCAAGTTTAGAAACACTCCCATAGGGTAATATCCTCCATCGCCCAAGATCGTGAACGTTCGAAGACGCTCCTGGGCCTGCCTTAACTCTGACCCCATTAAGTTAGGATTGACGGTCTTGAAAATGTATGTATGTATGCTACACTTTCCACGTAGAAGAGAGAACAAACCGGTAGGAGTATGGAGGGCACAGACAATATACTATGCTTTGGAGCGGCTAAAGGGGAAAATCATCCTTTCTCTAATATCAACGCGGCATGAAAGTCAAGCACGGGAGCAAAAGAGTAGTAGTCTCTCTCTTTTCCCCCCCCCCCCCCCCCACGACTACCTGAGCAACATTCAGGGCAAGTGAATCAGACAGTTGGATTTCTCCATCAGATTTCTGGAAGCAGCCTGAAGAACGCATGCTCGGCGACCAAATAAGGGAATACGGCGTAGGAGTTTGATCAGTATAGCCTGCGGTATGCATACTGAATTGCACCTCCACTCTCGCTCCTTTTCCCCATGGTCATCCCCGACGAATCTATGGAAACGTTACTTTACCATTTTCTTTCATTTTTGCTTTCGAGTCTTATCTTTCTATCTTTCTGCAAAATCGCTACTCCGATAGACGTTCATGAACCACAGATCACAGGGAGGAGAGTAAGAGTGGCCCATTTTCGAGCTTATCATTCATCTTAAGATCACATTTCTGATCTCTCTCCTCGGCCGGTCTAACCAGTTATGAATGGTAACCCAGATCCTTCCGTGCCGAAAGTGGAATTCGTTTTCACTGGGAAAGGAGTTGCCTGATGGCTGACGACTTGGGGGCAAGCCAAGAACGATCCGACGGACCCAACTGTAAGCCCATAACAGTGCAAGGAAACTACGGGGGCGTCCCCGTGATATTCCCCCATTCTTTTCACATGGGCAATGATGAAAATGAACGGCAGACAATAGGGCGGGTGCGTGTGTGAGTAACCGACCCGAGCCTGGCCTGCAGGGGATCTTATCACCGGAAATCCCGTCCTTCCACTTCGCCTGCATTGTGGGAATATTCTCGTATAATCCGAGCAGGAATGTACGCAGCGAAGATGCCGAGAACAAGGGGCGTGGTCTCGCGCAGCCTCAACACAGCAGAAGGCGGTCCATGAATGAACGTGGGAAGAGGGGGGGGGGGGATTTTCAGCTTGGCCGAAGACGATGAGGGGGGAAAGCGAGAGGGTTGATGTCATCCATTCCTGGGACTTACGTAGAGCATGTCATCATCTGTCCGATCGTGGCCCGAGGAAGAGCGTTGGGATTGGCGCTTCTTGGGAAACCACGTTGATGTCGTTGAGTCACCGCTTGCACTCAACATCACCATGTTTATTCATCACTCTCTTTCACTAACTAGGGGCTTCACATCCTCGTCTTTCCACAGACACATGCAAAAGACACCGGAAGCTTTCATTTCACGCTCGATATCTCGGCTACGCAAACGAGGTCAGGCTAATATGATGGAGGGACTACGAAATGACAGATGACCGTATCTCGTGCGGGGTTTCCTTTCACTTGGCACCTGCCGAATTCCTGACGTCAACTACACTCCCCTGAACCTTGAACTGGGTTAGGGAACGATTCTGTGGCGAGGGTTCTCCACCCTTCCTGTCAGCCGCCAATTATGAAAGAAAGTTACAAAAAGATACCTGCTTGTATTCATGTCGCCGTTCCGTTGGGCGTATTAGCAACTGTTTTAGTCGCTTTATGTGCCGAAACCCTAGGTAAATGAATGGCCTTCAAAAAATGGAGTACCAAGAAACACTTCGAGAGGTTTACTGGTAGAAAATCAATCTCCACAATGAGCAACAAGTGATTATCAAAAAGTTTGCATTAACTGCACAGGCTCCGAACTCGTGTCGGTCGTTTTCAGCGAAATGGGCACCCACATTATGACATGGCGAAAAATGCTGAATATACTCTCACGCAATGAATTCACGGCTTAACCTGTTAACTTCAGGCAGGAATTGCAGCATGTGCTAACTGAAACGTCCCCTCCACGCCACTGAGACGAGGTGAAATGAGGAAAATGGGTTTTTGGAAGCAGGATCTGCTAGCACCATTCGCAGGGTTGGCACTTGAATCAACAGCAGAAAGAAATCGGCACGGATGCACACCATATGGCAAAAGACAGCGATCGTCAAACACACAGGGTTGCCTTCCTCTTGTTCCGAGAGGCTGCTTTCGCAACAGACCCCCTCCACTGAGCCCTGATGCAGATACTTCTCCTCGCACACATGGCGATGGACACCGGTGGTCGTAAGAGATAATCGACCCTTCAACACTTCGCGATGAGTCCAACGTATGTAGGTGCGTGTGTACGTGTTAGTGCGATTGTGCTCGGAGGAAACTAGGATGAGCTCGATGGTCGGATGGAGTAGGCAGGGAAAGCAGGCCCACACCGCCACCTCCTCCACACTTGGACTCGACCAGCCCAGGAAAAGACAAGGAAAACGGGACTTTCTATATGATGGACAGAAGGGCGAAGATTGCGCGCAAGGCCCTGTTGCGAGAGAGCTGCTAGACAGGCCGGAGAGGAAACTCTCACACGGGAATTCAAGTCCTCGGCAGAGCGGAAATAAGGCTCCGTGCATCGCGTTTCCACGCCATTGCGAGGCACATCCGATTACGCCAGCCGAAAATTCTCTCTAACCAGAAATCGGTACTCATCGAATTCGGTTCAACATGACGCGAACGTGTCAACATTTAATTGTACCTATTACTGAGGAGAAACCAGTGAAGAGCTGGGGATCTAAGTCTCGCCGTACACGATTCCAAAGGGTCGTTCACACTCTCCCACCGTGAAGAGAGGCAAATGGGATCGTCCGTGCAGAGAAACGAAGAAAGAGTCCAGAAAAGGCGTCGGGAAGGTACAATGAGCCCGATCAACTATGCGATCCCCCACTACCGCATTCGCATGAAGCCGGTTCATGCGAAAACGCGAAGCCATTCAAAATGGAAAACAGGCCTAAAGGGAAACGAACGAGGGTTAACGGGCTACGTTTCCATATTCCATAGCACGTAAGTAAACAGAATATCCATAAAACTAAAGAGGTAAAAAAAATTTTATCTGTCAAGGCGGTAAAGCAGCTACGCCCATGTTCTCTGTATCTTCCTTCATTTGGGCTCCCGGTATGGTGATGTCTTTGAATGATGATCGTGGAATGCTCCGTGGAATGGACAGTATTGCCGTAGACTTATCTAGTCGAAAGCGAACGATAAAAAGTATCACATCGCTCATGGAGGTCGTGAATCACTGGCAAGTTTACTCTCCGCGAACAACAACGGGATTAGTGCGCACACTATACAGACAGAAATAGCAGATAAAGAATCGCGAATTTACTCAGCGTATTTTCTGTAGGCCGCTCAGCCCCAATTTCTGTCCTGGATGAATGCAGTCGCCAGTCATCATGTAACTAACCTGGATACATCTAAACTCCCACCCCAACATGATATTAATGAGCCGTTTGGTCATCTACGCCCGGGGGGAAGTGGGAAAATAACTGGCCAATTGACCACCATTCTCTCTCCCCCTCTGTCCACGGAAGCCCACTCTCTTAAATTACTGCTCTGTATTCGGTCTACCGGAATAGTCTCGATGTGTATAAGGGGAATAAGTAGGTCTCCAGTCCTCTTGATCACAAGAGACAACATAGGCAATCGGTCTAAGATCCGATACCGCCTGAAATGTGCTCCTAATCCTTCAATACCCGGCATAGCCATCAAAGTATATGCCACAAAAAGCTCCGGTTTTCCAGGCAGATCGAAGCCGTACTCCGCAGGCCTAAGTCTGTATTTGCGAAGAAATGCGGAACCGCCCTGGAGCAAGTTTAAGAGCAATATCGATCCTGCGTTGCCTGACTGATTTGCACAGGGGTCACGAGATCGGGCAATGTCATTGTCCACTCTACCGTTGCGCCGATTCCAAAGAAAGACTACATGATTCCGGAAAGCAAATCCGTGTGAGCTGATTCTAATCTCCGGGGAAAATGACGTTAGTATGACTGCTAAATTGGGGGGTATGAAGAGTAATCTACTCCCAAGAGTAATCAGACAATGCAACGCCCAGGGATATCTCAGCAGCGAAGACATGAGCCCCTGATGAAACGTGGACCACTGGATTTGAAGCACACGTTTTGCCGAACCCAGGTCCAGATGTAGCCGACTATTACAACACAGCGAAGACGTGGGACACGTACCAGATCCGTTATCTGATCACAATGGGAGTCTGGAAAAAAAAAGAGATCAACACTCGCTTCGCCCCTTAAGCCGGTTTTATATACATACGCTCCTTGGGGGGGGGGGGGAGAAGCGCGCAATATTGAAAGCTCGTAGAGATATTTCCATTCAAGTCCGTCGTAAAATGAAGGCTTCATTGTCGAGAAAACCTTATTCATTCCAATTGCTAATACACTTCAACAGAAAAACCTCTAATGGCTTTCAACGTACACACTTTCTTTCGAGGAGAATGTGCTCGTGGTAACAGGAAAACTGGTTTGTGGAATCGATTCATATCAGGATCTCAATCAAGCTTCTCTTTCTGACTATTTCGGTATGGTGATGAGTCTGAGACATTCGTGAATGAGGAGGAAAAAAAAAAAAGCCTGAAGATCACCCTGGTCGAACATGTATGGAAAGTCGAATACCTCTACAAGATCAAGAATGAGCGCCACATGACACGCTGAGGGCAAATGGCGAGAGTGACGGGTTTAACGGATTTCCGGAGGGTGTCGTGATGAAATCGGACGGGCCTGAACTGAATTGCTCTGGTACACCCTACCCTACCACGAGACTATCCACGAGGATGGAGCGAATTTCCCGTCATCAGGTGCTTAGGACTCACGTTTCCCACCGACTGCGATTCATCACTCCCGTGATGATGATGACTGGCGTAGTCTTGTGTCCAAGTCAGGTCTTCCTCTTGGCGCCATGGATCACCTTCATCGTGTGACGGGGGTCGGGATCTCTGTCTCGTAACTCTCCACGAGTTCGGTTCACTCACTTCACTTTTCTGACATAAGGCATCAGTACTAGAGGGATTTGTCTCGACCGACGTTTCTTCTTCCTCTTCTTTCCCATTCCCGTAGACAAACTTCTCTCGGACTTCCTCCCTGAACCGGAAGAAGAACTTGCGCTTCAACACGGATTTCAGCTCCTTCATCATGTTCTCGCGCTTGTTCGGAGGCTCCGACAGGGGCTGCTGGCGGAATCGTTGAGAGTCCGAAAGTCGCGAGTCCAAGGATTCCAAACTACGATAGATGTCCTGCTTCGTGAGTATCTTCCCATGGCGGAGATCCTTGCCGGTCGTGGAATTGGGGGGGTTCCGAGCTAAGATGGCACAGCGTAACATGGCGCACCTCTCCTCCCCTCCCTCCTCCCACTCCTTCCAGTTGGAATTGTCAGCTTCGCCTCCTGTTCCCCCCTCCCCCGTCCACTGCTGACGCGGTCTGTTGGATTTTATCAGCCGCGCGGAACTTCCTCCATTGTAACAAATGGACGTCTTCCGGTGACCTTGGCCGGCCTGCGGACAGAAAATCAGGGAGTCTAGGCTCCCAAATGAACTCGAGTTCGAGCTGGACTTGGATGAACTAGCCCCCTCCTCCGGGACACAGATGAGACCTAGGTTCAGGCTATTCTCCTCTTCGGGGCTAGGGTTTCGAAAAACACCATCTTCGCACGACAGGCGATGAGGTTCCAGGGAGTCTGGATCGCATTCACAAGCGGAACTACATCGACAAGTGGAACGACAAGAGTAATAGGAAGAGCAAGAGCCGGTACAAGAGCACGTGCACGAGGCGAGAGACCAAGGCTCCTCTTCCAACATATCACAGGAGGTAACTTTGATGAGCGAGAACGAAGGAGTTTCACCTCTGCTCCTTCCATTTACACACTGCAACGCTCACGAGATTCTTCTGTTCACCAAATGGGCAAGGAGAGAGGATAACAAAAAAAGGATTCGTTCACTGACACTGGCTTGATTGGTGACCCATAGCCCAACGAGTATCGCTTGGGTGGGTGTGCATGGCCGAACAGACGGCTCCTCGCTTCAACTCATCCCGTAGTAGACACTACCCACTACAGTACACCTAGTCCCCCTTCAAAGGAAACCACTAACACACACTGCATTTCTAGCTCCAGCTGACGCAAAAGAGTAACACATGGAAAAGAAAAAGTGAGGGGGGGAAAAGAAGATAATTAGTCCATGGATACCACCTCAGAGTAATTGCAGGCTCGATTACTCCCCTACGCGACCTTGGAGTGGGTAGAAAAGAGAGGGACATGCGGAAAATACACGACCAGATGGCTGAGGCTCTCGCCTAGGGGGATTCCATTGAAACGAGGGCAAGAAAAGAGACAACTTCTTATCATGATTTCTGGGCATGGAAGTGGGAAAAAATTACAGACGAGGATATGAGAACTTCTTGGCACAGAGATGCACACGGCCTTCATTTTCCCTCCTCCCTTATTTTAGCATGGTTGGTCATGCTCGCTGAGATAGAGTTAAGGTGATGAAATGACCCCCAGTTTCCCACTCATCATACAAGCTGGCAAATGGATGTGTCGTCGTCTTCCCGTCGCGTTCTTCATTAATCGTGGATCTGGTATCTGGCGTCAGCGTTTCACGAGAATTTAATGACATTAAATGAACTAACCTCTTCCTCTTCTGCTCAATCGAAATTTCGCGACTCATAACCTTCCTTCTACGGCATTTGATCCCCTCTATTGACACTCGACATCATCCCTTCCTTCATGTTGAACAACTGAGGATATTATGGGGTTATGGCGTTAATAAAAAATAAATAAATAACATATATATACAGGGTGTCTCAAAAGTCCGGACTCATGGGTATTTGAGGTTGATTAAAACTATCTTTCAATTTCAGATAATTGAAGAAAAAGGGTGACTACAAATTAAAAAAAAGGTCAGTATCTCACCCCTTTTGATTTTTTTCTTTGGGGATATCTGAAATCGGTGAAATCACTAACAACCACGCAATATTCTGAGGGTGTTATGTGACAATGATGCGTATTGATATGCGTATGCAACTTTATGGCATACAATTTTAACATTTAATTAAATAATGGTAAATAATGAAATTTGCCTGAGTCAGGAATTTTGAGACACCCTGTATAGTCTATAACTGCACTGTTATAAAATCCTCTTAGGAGATGACCGGATAAAAAGTGAGTGGAGACGCAAAAACTCGGTCAATGTCCTGTCTGTATTCAAGGACTAGGTATCAGATGAGTAAGATCAACGGCGACGACATGCTCACGATTGTGATTCTGACAATTTACAGTTAGAGGTCTATGTAAAAGCCGGCTTATAAATGTATAAAGCATATATACATAATGCCAGACAAGGCCTAAGGGCCTAAGTGTGGTCATTCATGTACAAGGTGGGGCGGTAACCATTCATGTTGACTAGTCGGAGAAAAAAAAAAACTGATCTACAGCTCGCTTTCCATAAATATATGGCTCAAGTTCTGCCTTTCAATATCATCAAGTCCAAGTCACGAATTCTCGACGGCTGATCGTTACAGGGTATTTCAAGCCAATGAAACGTACGTTTTCTTATCGGGGCACACGGCCAGAATACGTCAGATTACGTTCCACTGGAAAATGTTTTCGAAGGAATGCTGGACGACGCACAACCGCCACTGCAACTCGCGTTATCAAAGCCTGAAACAAATTGACCTGAATGCCAACTGGAATACGAAACTGACATTGCGGTATAGTTGTCCAACATAGCTTCGACAATGCACAAGTGTCTAGCAAAAATAATTTACGTCAATATGAAATAAACTATAAAAATACGAATTTCAGGGGGACACGGGCTCCGTTATCTTGGACCAGCTACTTGTCCGAGAACTGGGAGGCCACTGCCAATATAAGAAATAGAGATCTGTTTCTTCTAAAACTATACCACGGGTCCACCGAGTTTGAAAAGTCACGCGGACACGACAATTTTCATAACCATTTGACCTATAATTTTGGGTCTCAACGGAAGATATAGTTAATTTTTTTCAACACTTTGACGGTGAATTCCGTTCACGTACAAGAACTATATAAAATGTTTCCAGGCTTATTTCTGTTGAGGATGGGCTTCGAAATGATGAGTTGAAAAAAGTAGATAAATGGGTTGTGATTATATTTTTTTGTCGTTAAGGACAAATGTGGTCCATAGATCAACGACCGTCTCGGGATGGTGTATAATGGTTTTACTCTCGTCGCAGTACTGTCATACAGTGGGTCGTACAATTTGAGGTCAGCCGACACATCACACCAGATGATCCCCGAGCTGCACGCCTAAACATTGCTACCAATGACAAGCTCGTGGAATGACTCATAATTGGAAAATGTCATGCTGAAAATGAGCTCAGGACTCTCAGTAATTCTCATGGCTGTGTTTATGCCATCTTTCGTGATGTTCTCCATATGTATGTCTGCGTCAGTTGGGCCCTTGGGATTTTCCCTTGTGCACAGAGGCCAGTAATGACGTAGTAACGAGCGTGAGGGGAGATGCCTTATTGCATCCGATAATTAAGAGTCCTGGATGAATCAGTATCACTCCAAAATGAAATGCAAAGGCATGTAACGGAAGCACAATGATTCCCTTCAACCAAGAAGGTGGTCGAAGCATCAATCACAAGTACTATGGCAGCACCACAAAATACTTGTTGAATCCATCCAAGAGGGGTTTCGTTTTCGCAAGAAGGGATGATATTTCATGTAGCCATACAGGGCCCATAAAACCTTTGTCAAGGTGCAAGAACAGAGATGGGACATAGTTCCTTAACCACTGTACAGTCCTAATTTGGCAACCAGTCATTTTCTACTCTCCTGAAAATAAAGCTGTTTTGAGGCAAGATAATGCCAACTGATCAAGTCTCTGCTCAGGCATTTCCCAGAGTCAAAAACATTTGGGAAAAGACACAATTCCCAAGGGATCCTCAATTTTACCCTAGGATGGATGAAGTGCTTAAATATTGATATTGATTGATGAATTATTGATGAGTGTTTTTACCAAAAGGCATAATGTACACTTAATTTCAAAGAGTTTTTTTTTGTCTGGGAACTTTTTGACTGACTACTGTAAGTGACAGGATCAATAATGCAATTCTATGGTCATCTGGAAAAAAAAAAAGGCCAAACACCAAACAAGGTATTTGGAATTAGAGTTTTCACTATTCCAAATGTGCATTCCAAGTGTTTCGGTGCTGACATTATCTATTAGGCATGTGCAGGATCCACTCACTTTTAACTTTACTTGACTAATATACAGCTATAGAGCCCTCTCATTAAAAACTTCACTCCATCCATTTGAAGAGACTGAAAATTGCATAAAATTAAGCTCCTTTGAAACTTTAACCCAGCTCTTATTGTCAGATAACTGTATTCTGATGGGTTGAAGACTTTAATATCAACATGTAAAAAGTCAAAGTATTTTCCTATCTACATTATTAGGGCTATGAACAGGATATTCACAGCTTTCATGCAAAGAAAAACATGCACTCACCATTTTAGAATCATAGTCAACATAGCCTGTGATTTCAGGGACTTCATCAGTATGCCTCATCCTCTCTCGAGTCCTTGAGGTGTTGACTGTGAAACTAGTATTGGTGGCACTACTAGCAGGGTCACTCCAGCCTAACATGCGGTTCACTCTCTGCCACATGGAAAACTCAGCTCACAACTTCATCATGAACAGCACCAATGCACAAGTCAATGTAAGACTATGACAATAATAGTGTCAACATCCCTGTGAAGAGACATCAAGAGGCTAATTAGTAAAAGAAACTACCAGTTATATCCATTCAGAGCTACCTAAAATCCTTCACTAGAGGTGTAGGTTTAAAAAATATAGAGCTCTGCAACTGCTGAAAATAGAGCAAGCTGGGTTAGCAATACCAGTATGCGCACCCTAAAGAAACAACAGTTCACTTTGCTTAGCTTAGGATTTCTTTAAATTTTATGGCAAAACAGAGACAACATTCCATATTTTACAGTGAACTAGGTTTAAATGAGGGTCCATGACACGCATGTCATTCTAAATACATTATGAGTTGGAGTCCTTGCCAGATACCTCAAGAAAGTGTTTGCATGGACCTAAACAAACCTATCAATATCAAACAACTCACAAACAGTTAAATATATAAAGACTGGGATCAGCAATATGGTCAAGAAAATCTTGAATAGCACTTTACATCCCTCAGTGCATGAAATCAGAAATGAGGAGAGTCCATAATTGTCAAATTTGTTGAGATACAAGAATGTAAGCACTTTGCTGTATAAAAACATGTATTTTCTAAGATGAGGCTCTCAGGTTTTTTAAATGTAAAATTCAACTTGAGTTCTCTAGGATTCAGCTAATTGCAAGTTTAATTCTTTCTTTTTTTCCCCAGGAGGTTCATTAACAGAATGTCCTGAGTCTCTCTCTCTCTCTCTCTCTGAGAACTGCATAGTGCATGGGTTGACTATGATATAAATTGTAGATTACCTATGGTCCAACTGATTCTGATGTCAATAGCTTAACTGACACTGACTTGCAACAAGGGGACATGATAGATAAATTAATTGGGGTTTGTCTTTGACCAGGTTGAAGTGGATTGCAGTGGGCAAAACTCCTCCAATATGAAAAAACATTAAGGTAGGCCAAACATATGGTAAATATATAAAGAAGGCTGAAACTAATGATGTCATACTGGAATGCATTCTGGAAAGCATGCAGGCTGTGGCAGATCCATACCAGGACACATAAGGAGAAATAAGTGATGGCAATGAAGGGACTAGTGGCATTTTGTGCCCTTACCCATGTGAAAATTTCATATAAGACCATATATGAAATGGCCATATATTTAACCAGTCCAACATATATGGGGCATATATGACCATATAGTGCAATACATATATAAACATATGTGAAACATGTATGGGGTTTGACACAAGTCACATAAAATCATATAAGAATGAAAACATATGACCCCATACATTTTCATATATTGGCTCATACATATGCACCATATACTGTCTATATATGCCATGTCATACCTATGTATGGTGAGATTACCCAAAACATGTCTGTATCCAAAAAGGGTCCATAATCCATCAAATACTGTATGATCATTCATATGCAAGTCACCATATTTAACTTGCAATCAACTCATTTTCAACTGTTCATAGACCAGTCAATTACTCCAAGAACACATGTTTCATGGTGTTCAACATATGCACCCTTGTTAATGAAGGTGAAAGTTTCAATTATAGACTTGAACCTTCACAAGTATTTTCATCAGTAATTGACAACTCAGAAGATGTTTCACATAATTGCATCTTCCCCTTTACTCTGCCAATTCTCATACCCTTTCCACCAGCCACCCCATAGTTTCTACATTAAAGCTTGAGAAGCATGCACTCAATCTGTTTCCATTCCACAAGATCCAGTGGTCTATTCACCCTTCAATCCTTGTGTTTATGTGATGTAGTCTTGTTACCTCTGGTACTTCTAATTCAACCCCTACATCTGAGAATGAAATTGAACTGCTTTATCCTTTATCCTCCTTGGCCAATAACCTTTTCCACTTTCTCCCCTTCCTTCTGGTTGTCCAGTCCTCTGGGTATTAGACTTCCCAAAAGTCACCATTTTCAAAATTATCAGAAATTGGGGACCACCAGCAAAATGACAAATACAACTCTTGCACTGCTTCACTATTGTGTGATAACATAGTTCTCAGCTGCAACCACAAATATAATGATCATTGAGTGTTGATTGATGATGCACCTAATCTAAATTGAAACTAAGTTTGTATGTCAAGCATCTGCAATTCATACAGTTAAAAGACTAGGATTAATAAATGAGTGATTTTTTTTTTATTTTTCAAAGATTAAGTATTGGGCCCTTAGAGTCCTATTCCCATACATCTACATGTGCCTATAATGAACTCAAGCCCCAAGCACATAGGCCAATGTGAATTTTCTGTTTATTTCTGGCAACTCCATAAGCAGAGAGAGTTCATTGTTAAGTATTATGAGTTGCAAAGGGGAATTTAAACCACTCCATGGAAAGGAACTTACATTGGATAAGAAACTTATCTCATGCTCAGAACTTTTGTTTGTATGAGGTGAAAATGTCAAATTAATAGTAATAAAAGGATGTACATTCCACATTTTAGCTATAAATACCAAAAGTTGTTCAGCAATGAATTGAGGCAATTTAACTAGGGCACAAAGTAATAAGCCCCAAAGTTAAAATATGCAAAATGTAAGGTGAAGGTGAAATGAGGGTTTAGTTGCACTCCCTCTGTTTTTTTCAGACTTTAATGATAAGTCTGACTTTGGGAGCCTGTGTTTAATTTAACCAATTACACTGACCCAGAATAAGAGTCAATAAAACTGAGGCAGAGGTCAGACTTTCCCAAGTCAGGCCTTTTGTGAAATCTGACTGAAGGGAAAGTAGAGTAACTGGCCCAAGGTCAAGCCACAAAGTGTAAATCTCTCTCATTGGCAATGCCCAGAGTGTATAAAGGTAAAAAATTAAGCAAAACTGAATGACAAATGCCACAATCAACATGGCAGTTACCATTCACTCAAGTGTTTTCTGGGAGGAGTTTTCATCTGCAGAACAGTATCTAAACATATTCTAGGCAACTAATTCAGTCAGCTACTTCCCTTGGCTAATGTTAGGCTGTCCAAGAGAGGGAATAAAAAGATTTCTCCTCTCCAGTTCTTTTTATTATGGTATAAATCACAATAGGCAGGATTTATATGCATTGTATTGTCAAAAAGGTCACCCATGTACTTAACTTTCTGAAGACAACAGATATACTTGAGATTATCTGCATTTTATAAGGAGCAGGAAAACAAACAATCCTTTCTCAATTCCTTCATTCACATGAGTGAAGAAGTTCCATGTCACTTTAACTTGGCATAAGCAATGGAGGGTTCAGCAAGTTTTAATTCCTTCAAAGGCTCCTTATATCCAGTATGTCAAATGAGAAATTGGGGCACCTTGCACTACATTCAGCACCAAATGCTAAATAATCTCTTTTACCTTAATACTCTTGAAGGTACCATGCACTGGCACCTTGAGAGTAGATGCATCTATATGCAAAATAGGATCTAAGACCTAGTACATACCCATGCTATGTTGAAATCTGGCATGTTCAGCTATTGAACTGCAATCCTGCAATGTAGCAAGCTATCCAGCAAAAAGTTTTCTATACATAAGATTAAATGCTGCAACTTCTGGAAGCAGTGAGCAATTTTATTGTCTGTTAATAGGCTGCTGCTGTGTACTGCATTTATTATCCAGCATACTTTACAGCTAAAATATGTGCAAGGCCTGACCCAACCTAGTTCTTGGTATTGACATTACTTCCAACGATGTGTCTAAATAGGCTTTATCTAAAGCAGGCTAGGCCTAGGCATGTGACATGGACTATGCTGAATATTAAGACATATTTTAGCTTGGAGTTTGCAGGCCTAAATAAAGGTATTGGTCTGACCTACCTTGGGGTTGTGTCACACTTGCCTACAGTTCAGTTTCCAAATGATAGACCTATGTCAACACTTTGACGTGAAGCATACGGTACCTTTAGGCCTACATTTTTTCGAGTCTTTTCCCATGCATAGACCAAATGTAAATTTTGCCTAAGACGACGAACCAAAGTGTCACGAATACAGAGGCCCGAGGGATCGGATGAAGTAGCTAAGGTTAAACCAGATCTGACACGAGGGAGAAACGAATGAGACCGTGGAGAGAGTCGGAGACACTGCTGTGGCGCAGAATAGATCCTACGCCAATCATAACAATAGGTCTTCAACATAGTCGGTAGGAGAGCGGGGAGGCTGTCACTAAGGATGGCGCCATGTTCGCTAAGGCTGGTCACGACGTCACGAAACACGGGAGCATCGCCCTGTGATTGGTCAACGGGGCATTGAGGTGCTATGGTTCTTGATTACCGTCCGTTTTTCTCCATATCCCTGAATCATCATCAGATCACTTCCCTGAAACCCCCTTCTTTCTGCCTGCCTCGTTCATGTAAAAAGAGAGCAGTCATTTGCCAGAGTTGGAAACAATCCAGACATTTAAGATCGTTCAGGGAATCGATAAGCGGAGCATGGCAAGTTTTTCAAACTAGATGGTAGCAGCCAGAGCGGTAACCTCTTCAAATTACGTAAACCACAAGTGAGACTACGGTTAAGGAATGAATGCTTGGAATGTGTCAAGAGTTGTAGGAGCTACCCCTTTCGTGAGTAGCTCTAAGAAGAGCTACTCTAAGCCTTCGTGGACAAAACAAAAGATGGGAACCCTAGTCGTATCAAGGTATCAGGTAGAAACGCTCCCGCAATAATATCCATCTTTAAAAAGCTGTGACCAGGTAGTAGGATTATATAAATATATATCCCTAAGAAGGCTAAGCATATTTTATACGAACGCTTGACCTTGACATGGGGCATCAAAATGGGCAAGGTTTTCTCTTGGTGTCCCAACTCGAATCTTGAACCTTGACAATTTCGAGAATTGTCCCAAAATTAGACCATTCTTAAATTTGCCTTCAGCCATACACTTCTCCCGTCTTTCTCTAGCAGTTCCTAGACAAGTCGGTGAGTCGGGGGGAATCGCCGCTCCCCGGACGTACGTTTCCGTGTTTCTCATCACTCTACAGTGGCTACAGTATGGCTTCGTACGCTTTCATTCGTATACGAATGAAAACGAATACGAACGAAGTTTTCTGCAAAGTCTGCATGATAGGATTGTCTGAGATGACAACAGCCCAGGTCAAGGTAGTAATTGTGCCTTGACGGCAGGGTGGAGCCCATTTTCATCCAAGAGCACCTGCGCCGGTTCAGAGGTCGAACGAAGCACGCATGTTCTACACCCGCCTTCATTATTCACAATATTAATAACGCTATGGAACTCGGAATTCAAGATAAATGTAGATCAGACCAGAGATGGTTTTCATTCTTTCACGGAGGTAATCTATTGTCATCTCCAAATCCATGGATCAATCCGAATTCACTGAGACGAAATTTAACAGAGCATTATTAAATAGCAATGATGTTATGGACTCGAAGGCTCAAAGCAGCTGTCGCTATTGGACAACATGATCTTCATCTGTCGGAAGTCAGAATTAGAACAAGGGGCGATACTCCAAACATTTTTCCCCTCCTCTCTTCCTCCTTCCCCCTTGGAACATGGACAGGGTGGGGTCAGCATCGAGACAAAGGAGTGGGGGAAATTCTCTGTCATCCCGCAGCTACCTCGCTGGCCCAGGTTCTAAAATTCTGTAGCGACTGCGGAAAGATGTTTCATTAAAAAAAAATTGTGAAACTAGCAATATAATTCCTGTCTAGCCCTTCTGTGAGAGATTTTTTTTGTGTCCATTGAGCCCAGTTTTTTTGTTGGAAAGGAGTTTGCTCCGGGCATAGGGGCTTTGGCCACAAAACTTAAGGACTGGACGTGTCCTTCTCTACACTCTAAACTGCAACTATTCAAATATGAACAGCCTAAGAGATGGCACTGGTGCTTATATGTATGAGGTGCGTTCAGTAAGTAAAATCTGTTTGTTTTCCAGTTTTGATAGAGGAATCACAGGGTACAGCAAAATCGTTTACTTTTAGATATACGAGGGGTGATTGAAAAGTTCGTAGCCCGAGGCACTTCCAGTTGCAATACATCATTCTTACTTTTCTTATGAGAAGACTGATGTCTGATGGTGACTGGCAAATTTTCATCTCGTTCGTCGATTATGTATAGCTTTGATGAATTTTTCTCCATGTGCTACCAAAGGGTCTGCTGAAAGGCTATTAAAATTGAGAAGAATGCTGTGATCAATTATCTAACCTCCAAGGAGCCGATCTTTCAGCAGATCTTTCAGTAGCTGAGAGGACAGAGTCCTAGTGACCCTTCTCTGACAGATCAGCTAGAAAATCGACTCCTTAGAGATGAGAAAATTAATCAAGGCATTCGTCTCAATTTTAATACCCTTTCAGCAGACCTTTTGGTAACACATGGGGAAAAAATCATGAAAGCTATATATAATCGACGAATAAGATGAAAATTTGCCTGTCACCATAAAAGACATCAGTCTCATAAGAAAAGTAAGAATGGTGTACTGCAACTGGAAAAGCCTCGGGCTACGATTTTTTCAATCACCCCTCGTATTCCTCGTCCTTTTCCCCTGTTTTACCAAGCTTGTGAAAGTTGCCGCAAAATCATCTTTAGATGCATGTTTAGATTACTCGAAAATTTCAAACCCATGGACTTTTCTGGACCCGCACTCCTTCCCCCGCAAAGAGTTCTAAACGGCCAAAAGTTAGTCTGAAGAAAAGTTTGAATATGCTGCATGAGGCAGCATTTCGATCCTTTTGTGGGAAAGAAAAAAAAAACGTTGATAGTTATAGTCCAATGGGGAGGAACCTTGCCACGGTGCAACAAGAGATCATGGTGTCACAACCCGGCTCAAGTTGTTTTTTTTTTTTCACTGCGGGCAAGATTTGATTGCGAAGGACTTCCATGTAAAAGTCCTTGTTCGCCGTCTTCCCTTGTACGATGGATCGTGATCTCTTTGTTTCTCTCTCTCCATTCCGCTCTCCCTGCCTATCTTCTTGGAAAGGATTCAGAGACCTGTCATTAGTATGACCGAGTGAAGACTCTTACATTTACTCTTATTAAGCTTCACTAGCCTCTTTTTTTTCGACTCTAGTCGTCCAAAAAACTAATCTGTATCGATATTCGCCCTCCCCCTTGATGGAGAACCTTATTTTTTTGTCGTCAGCAAATTTACTAATTTGACTCGTGTGACTTCGACCTAAATCGATTTGTAAACCCCAAATAGCAGTTGATCGTTCGACTGATCCCTGAATAACTCCGTTACCGATCCCGACTTCCGCCGGCGCTTCTCTCCATGCAATGAATGGCTGCTTCCTTACCGGCATCTCCATTCATCCAATTACCCACATTGCCGCGATCACGTGCGCCTCCAATTTAGTCCATAACCACATGTGAGGAATAGCATCGAGAGCTGAGTCCAAGTAGACCATGTCGACAGGATTCCCGTTATCCATCTTATCCGCCATCCAATCGTAAAATTCGAGCAAACTGTTAAGACGATTTCGCCGCCTCCTAAAGGCGTGCTGATCCTTATATGTAGCTTTCTGGATTGTTCTTATCCCCCTTCGTAACGATCGGCTTCGCTGATTTCCAACCCCAAGGCACTTCTTCACGCAAAATGCTTTTCTCAAATATGATGCTTAATGGTACCATCAAGTGAGGTGCCTTTGGACAGTTGCAAATGGTGCAGCCTGTCAAGCAATCCAAAAGCGATAGCGTAACTGATTTGGCTATATTTTTTGCGTTACTATGCAACAAAATGGTACTCGAATTTGTCAAATTCCTTGGTCGACAAGCTTTCGCCTGCTCAATCAAGACTTACCGGAGGTACATTTTTCGATCATAATGTTTGATAGCCTTGATATATGGCATTGGCAACAGTTCCTTTTCTCCCTAGGAAAAAAATTTTTCATAGAGGTCGAATTCTTGCAGAGCAAAATGAGATTTGACGTTGACAAAGTCTAATTGAGGAAAATAATACGTGTTTTGGATAGATGTCCAAAGTCACCCCACAAGAGGGGTGGCTTTATAATGTGACGCAGTGGCGTGCCCAAGACCCAAAAATTGACCCCAAGGGGGGGGGGGGGGTTGTGACCCCCAAACCCCCCCCCCTTGGGGTCAATTTTACAGGTTTGATTCTGACAATTTTTTTAATTTGGCCACAGGGTGGGTTGTCAGTTTTTTCATATGTTAACCCCCCCCATTCGGATTTCCTGGGCACGCTATTGATGATGATCCCACAATCCTCGCCACTCCGAGCCCCCGAGTCATTTCCTCGAGACCTCCGAAACCGACGCCTGTGGAAAGTGCAGCGTCAACTCCGATTCGATACTCTTCACCAAGATTTGGCCCTTTCCGACGACTCCCCGTAGTCCATGCTACACCCTGTGCTAGCCCAGAAACAAACTTTCATTCAGAAATCAACTTAATTATTCCCACAATTCAAATCCTTGTGTTCGTCTCTCCCCAAATTGATCTCAGGGATCCCCTGAAATCAACATTCTGTCGGATTGAGCGGAAATTTC